CCTCCATCCCGCCAGCTGAGCTCCGGCGTTGCTCCGCACTCCGCCATTTGGAACTGGAGGACAACCGGCTGGCCACCCCCGTGCTGGATCTACGCGCACTGTCAAACCTCGTATCGCTACAGCTGTACGGCAACCCGCTGGAGTACCTGCCAGAGCTGTCACCCGCCACGGCGTTGCGGACATTGAGTTTGGCAAATGTACGAATTATGGCGGATGCGGCGTACAGCAGGTGGGGGATCTCTGGTGGGCATTAGTAGTCGTAGTGGTGGTGGTGGTGGAATGGGAGGCGAAGGGGGTGGGGGTGGGGGTGGAAGGGGGTCGCAAATGTGGGTAGGTGTATGGATGGGGCTGGGCGGAGCTGCAGGAGGGGGAAAGCGGGGGGGGGATTTGTGTTTGTTTCTAGATCCGAACTCGGATCCAGATTGATGTGTCGGCCGGGGGGTTTTGGCCGCCCAGGTAGGACGAGGGGCCTGTGCAACAGAGGACGTCAGGCGGGCCGAAAGCCCGCGACAACACGCCACAAAACAAAACACGCAAAACCGCTCGTCCCAACACGACCTACTGTACGGCTCATGTGACGCACGTTCTGGCCACACGCCACATACCGCAAAGAACGCGCTCCGAACAAGGACGCCCCCCCCCCTTGTCTCCCCTTGTCTCCTTGGGTGCGTGTCTCCGTGTGCAGATGGGAGGTGGAGGTGGCCCCCATGCCGTACATCTCCCGGGGCCACAAGCTGGCGCCGCTGTTCAAGCTGACGTTCCGTCGTAGCAGCTGTCAGCACCCGCTGCTGGCGGGGGCGCTAGGTGGGGCGTTAGGTGGTGGTGTGGGGCCTGGCGGTGTGGGGCGTTAGGTGGTGGTGTGGGGCCTGGCGGTGTGGGGCGTTAGGTGGTGGTGTGGGGCCTGGCGGTGTGGGGCGTTAGGTGGTGGTGTGGGGCCTGGCGGTGTGGGGCGTTAGGTGGTGGTGTGGGGCCTGGCGGTGTGGGGCGTTAGGTGGTGGTGTGGGGCCTGGCGGTGTGGGGCGTTAGGTGGTGGTGTGGGGCCTGGCGGTGTGGGGCGTTAGGTGGTGGTGTGGGGCCTGGCGGTGGTGGAGTGGGGCCTGGTGGGTGTGGCCAGATGGTTACAGGGACCTGGTGGGTCAGGTCAGGGAGGCAGCCAACATGTTGGGGGACCAGGGGCGGAAGCAGGAAAATTTAGGAACCTTTCTTCCGCCCTCCATGCGCCGGCCATGTGTGTGCCGCTGCTGGTCCCCATCACCCTGGTGCGTGTAGGAGTATCTGCAGCGGCGTTGCGGCTCTTTTTCCTTGCAGCCTGCAGCAGCTTCAAATAGGAAATTGATACCTAATTTATTGCTGGCCTCCATCACTATTACCACCACCATCATCATCGCTTTCCCCACGCACTCTCCCCACATATCAACACACGCACACACACACACACACACCCATACACACCCACACACATACACACCCACGCACATCCACATCCACACCCACACAAATACACACACATACATACGCACACACACATACACACCCACACAAATACACACACATACACACGCACACACACATACACACGCACACACCCATACACACACAAATACACACACACATACACACACATACACACACACACAAATACTCGCACACACACATACACGCACGCAGGTCGTATCTCCGAGGACCGGGCCAACTGCGAGCTGATAGCGCGCGAGGAGACCGCCATTCAGCAACTGGTCCTCATGGCGCTGTCGGAGCAGCCGGTGGTGGCGGAACAGGCATGTCGTACACTGGGGGCGCTTGCGCAGCTGGGGCTGACGACCGCCAGACGGTGGGTAACGGTGGGTTTGCGGGATGCTGTGTGGGGTGTGATCTGCTGGCCCAGGGCCCCCGAGTATGCTGGCGGGGAGAGGGGGAAATGTTCGGTGTGGTTCTGGAGCGGATGGTGGGGGCGTGTGTCTAGGGTTCTATGTGCAGATGGCTGGATGCGGCTCTTTCTGAACGTTGTGTTTGGGAGCTCGTGTGTATCTGTTGTCTATGTGTGTCTCAATCTCAAATCTCCCACGCGGCGTTACTCACCCACCCACGAAACCGTCCCAACCACCCCTAACCATCCCAACCACTTTAACTACCAACCGACAACTTACGCCTTTTCAGATTGCTGTCGCATGATGTGGTCTCCACCATCTTGACGTTACTTCGGAGCCCGCGAAGAGCGAGCAAGATGTGCGGGTTGGCACTGCTGGGGAGCCTGGCGGCGGCATCGGAGGCGGTGAGTGGTGGTACGGGTGGCCATTCGCCACTTCAACTTTGTGGCGGTGGGGGGTGGGTGCGTGTAGGTTTCGTACGGTGTACGGTAGCATCCGTCCGTACTTGTTTTTTTCCCCGTTCGTTACAGTTGCTGGCGCGGTGCACCCACCTAACATAGTGAGCAAAGTGAGGGAAAGAAGTTGAGCGGACATTCTCGATTGGGGGGAGCTCTTTGTTATGCATCTGCTGCGTCCCTTATTTGTTTCAATTTAGTGGATTGTATACTTCGAGGTACCGTAGCCTCCTCCACTCTACCCTCCTTCCCGTACTCGCTAACCCTCCGACCCGCCCCAACATTGTTATCGACGCACGGCGCTTCGCGCGCAACCTCCACGGCCACGATCGCATCGGTGGCGGCGGCAATTTCCTTGCAGGTGAGCGCGGAGCTGCTAACATTAGAGCTGCTACAGCTGCTACAGGCGTGTATCCAGGGGGATGATCGGGACCCACGGGTCGCGGCTCTCGGCACACTCGCTAACCTGGCCTTCTGTCGCGACAATAAGCTTAAGATACGAGCGGCGCCGGGTCTGTTGTCGACCCTTATTGAACTGGCGGCTGCGCCCTCCGGCACCGCTGCCGCCGCGGTGGCGGCGGCGCCGGTCTGCCGCGGCTCGCCGATTTCCGCCGCCGGTGCCGCCGCGGTGGCGGCGGCACCGCGAGCTGGCGCCGAACAACTTCCGGACGGTCCAGCACAAGTTGACGATATTCTGAGCCCTGTACGGCAAGTCGCGGAAGCTTGGCCGGTGGCGTCGCCGCCGCGGCCGCCACCTTCGGCGGCCCTTGCGGCACCAGCCGTTGTACGAATGCCGCTCCGTGCGATCGCTGGCGGCGGTGGCGGCGGCCTCCATCGTCACAGTGATACCGGCGGTGGCGGTGGCAGCGGCAGCGCTTCGACAGTGTCTTTTGGGGTCGGATCGCCGCCGGGTCCCTCCGCCGCGTCTATGTCGTACAGTAGCCACAGTCAGGGCCTGAAATCCTTCCAGGCGGCGCCGGGCTACTCCTCTGCTGGTGCTGCTGCAGGCGGCGTCACCAGCGCCTCTGGCGCCTCAAAGGCCACCTCGGGCGCAGCTTCACCGGCGGACGTGCTTTCGCCGCCGCAACAGCAACATGTACGATGGATGCACCACGCCGCCTCGACACCCGCCACCGTTGGCCTTGCCGTCGCTGCCGCCAGTGGCGGCGGCGGCGGCAGCTCCGCCGCCGCCGCTGCAACCGCGGCGGCCTCGCGCGGCTTATCGCCATCACCGAACCCCGGTAGCGGCGGGGGCGGCGGCCCATTATTGCCAACATCCCCGACGGGCTGCGACACCAGCGCCACTGCCGCCGCTGCCGCCGCCGCTGCCAGCGGCTTGCCGCCGCAGATTTCCCTGGCGCCGCCGCGTGCGGTTCCGGAGCCGGTTGCACATCGCGACCAGGCGCGACTGCTGGCGATCAAGGTCCTGGCCATCCTTGGCGAGAATGAGCATGTACGGCGGGCGGTGGGGCAGCCACCCATCTCGGAACGGGGCGTACGGGTGCTGGCGCTGGACGGTGGTGGCATGCGGGGCCTTGCGCTGGTGCAGATCATGCGCCACATTGAACGTCGAACAGGTACGGTGGAGGCCGCCATCTCGGCCACCTGGACTCGGTTGGACCTGGATTCGTAGGTCTTATCGGCGCCCATTCCATCCTCACTCCTCCTCACACCTTTTCCCTTTCACACTCGTCCCGAATGCTAACAACCGCCAACTACCTCGATATATATAGCTTTGGTTTGACGTAGGGTTTTACATTGTGTTGTAACGTAAGGTCAGTAAACCTTCCTTCCAAACCCGCTTCTCTCCATTTTTGGCTTTTGGACATATGATTTCCCCCCCTCCCTCTCACTCCCTCTCCCCATCCCCTTTTTTGCCCCTCTCCTCCCTCCATCTTCCTGCCTTCCCCCCTCCTCCACCCCCCCTCCAGGCCGGCCCCTTCATCAGTTGTTCGATCTAGTGGTGGGCACCTCCACCGGCGCCATCGTGGCCGTCGGACTGGGAATATTCCACTTCACACTGGACCAGTGCGAGTCCATTTACACGGGGCTGGGCCACAAGGTCTTCAACCAGGTTCGCGATGGGCCGGTGTGAAGGGCAGGTTCCTCTTGAACCTATATGGGGGGTATGAGGATCCTTGGAAAGCTCGGGGTCGGGGGGAGGAGGAGGAGGTTTGGGTGTGTGTGTCTGTGTGTGTGTTTCGAGGAAGGTTGCGATAGCAGTGTATATAGTGGGAGGCTATGTGTTGTTCGGAATTTTTCAACCTCCATGTTGTGCGAGACGAAGATGTCCTCTCTCAACAACCCCCTGATGACGTGGCGGCAATGGTCTTTCTCCTTCCGGATGCAAGCTGAGAGAAGCGTTTCTAAAGCTGTGGCAAGCTGGCCTACCTAGGTGCCTCTGGTCTCTGGTTGCAAGATTTTTGTAATATCTTAGCTGTTTTCGTTCTTCCTTTGAAAGAATGCCAGGAAAAAAAAGAAGACCAGCGCTGATGCATCTTACTGGGCAAAGTTTCCCGACACATGCATCCCTCCCCCCTCCTGCCCTCTGTCTGTATACCACCCTTACAGGCTGGCGCGAGTCCTCGGGACGAGCTGCTGGCGGCAGCACAGGCACAGGCCGCCGCCAGCGCTGCTGCTACCGCTGGCGGCAGCAGCAGTAGCACTAGCGGCACCGGTGCTAGTACCGCCGGTACTGGCTGGCGTGACAGCCTCTTTCGCGTGGTCCGTGGCACCTCCACGAACCTCCGTGTCGCAGTGTACGGCTTCAAACACGATGCCACGACGTTTGAGGAGCTGCTGCGCCAGATGTGCGATTTGAAGAAGCTGGTGGGGCTGGGGTGGGGAGTAGGGATGGGTCGAGTGGGGGTGGTTGATGCTTTGGGTTATGATGTGTTGAACCCCGGTGCATATATGTATGTATGTATGTATGTATGTATGTATGTATGTATGTATGTATGTATGTATGTATGTATGTATGTATGTATGTATGTATGTATGTATGTATGTATCGGTACGTAGGTAGGTACGCATGCATGTGGTGGACCTTCCTTGCTTTTTGCATTATCACGTTTAAATTGAAAGGTCGCGCACAACAAAGCCACGGTTCATTTTTTGACAAACACAGACACACAAACACACGGCTGGGCGCATTACTGCACATACACACACGCGTGCATATCCCCCTCTTCCTCTCCCTACCCCCTACCCTTTCCCCCCGGGGCTTTGAATGTCTGCTGTTTTCCTCCCTTCTTGTCTTTGCTACAAACCCCCCGTGTGCTCCCCTTCCCCCTCACAAACACACAAACACACACACACACACGCACACGCGCACACCCTCTTCCTCCCCCTGCACACCCCGCTCAGGGCTGTAGTTCCAGTCAGCTGATAGATGCTGCAGCCCTGGGCTCCCCCAAGGTGGCGGCTGTAGCCACCCTCGTGTCATGTTGCCCGGTGACCCCCTTCCTCTTCACCAGCTACGAGCTGCCGCCCGATGTGGCCCCCGCAGCCGCGGCCATGAGGGCATGTCCCTCCTCCAGTCGACACCTTGTGTGGCAGGTGAGCTGTGTTTGGGGGTGAAGAGGGGTCTCACGAGTGCTGCCCTCGGGTCCTTTTGTTCCTATCTGTTTGTTGCTCTGGTTGAATGTGCCTGCGCCTCTGTGTGGGTGCGTGTGCCTTTCTTGTGCTCGTGCAGGCTGTACGAGCATCATCTGCAGCGCCGTACTACTTGGACGACTTTGTGTGCGGGGATGAGCGTTACCAGGTGAGTGGTGGGTCCCCGCGGCAAGACCCGTGATATGTGTGTGTGTATCTGTATGTGTGTGGAAGTAGGAAGGTAGGTAGGTAGGTAAGGTAGGTGCGTCCTTACACTTTGTGTTTTGAGTAAGCCTAAAGCCCTAAGTAAATCCCCCCGCTTCCCCCCTGCTCTACCCCCAACCCCCAATCCCTGAACGGCACCGCCGCCGTAACCGCCACGTTCCCACTTTAACCGCCTTCTGGCTCTGCCTCATGCAAAACCGCCCATGGAAACCCCCTCTCCGTGGGTATATAAATACGGAGGGCCCCCCGCATTTGTATCACGGAACCCGGTAAACATAAAAGTAATCGAATTCCCTCCGCATGCACCCCCTCAACCCTTCCTTGACCCCTTCAATCCCAGGACGGCGCCGCCACCGCCAACAACCCCGCCATCCTAGCCCTCCAGCAAGCCCGACTGCTCTGGCCGGGTGTCAAGCTCGACACCTTGGTGAGCATCGGCTGCGGCGCCGCCCCCCCGACACGGCGGGAACGTGGCGCCCATGCCGTGCTGGACACGGGGGCGGTGTTGGTGGATGCCGCCACGTCGCCCGACCGCGCTGACGAGGCGCTGTCGACGTTGCTGCCGCTGGTGCCCGGTGTGAAGTACTTTCGTTTCCAGCCGGTTCATGAGCGGTGCTCCATGGAACTTGATGACGTGAATCCGCAGCACTGGGCGGCGTTGCAGGTGTGTGTTTGTAGGGGCGTGTGGGCGTGTGTGTATAGGTGTTTTTTGCGAGTGGATGGGGAGAGAGAGAGAGAACTTTACATTTGTTATACTTCCTTCCCCCCCATTCCGTATGATTTCCCACTCATCATGATGTGTGTGTCTCTCTCTCTCTTGTCTTGTGCGCGCGTCACCCTCTTTCGGCGCTACTTCTCGTACAGGCGGCCGTGGACGAGTACTGTACAGCACATGCGGCTCGCATTGACGAGCTGGCGGAGCTGCTCTTGTCGGGTCGCGATGGCGAGGGAGCTCTCGCGGACAGCTCGGGCTGTACGGCAGCGGGTGGCGGGGCGGAGGTGGCGCAGGAGGATCCCTTCGAGGTGCCGCCGGGGGTCGGACCCGAGGGGTGCCCACTCGCCCCCGTACCCCGTATCAGGTGGGTTTTAGGTGGGTTTTAAGGGGGTTTTAAGGGGGTTTTAAGGGGGTTTAGCCGTCAATATCTTATTTGGGCGCCGCGACGCACAACAGCTGAAATTTTATATTAAAGTTTTTTATTGTTTTTTATCGCCATATCGTCACATCTTCATCGTGCCTAAACAGGCTCGGGCCCCGGCGCGGCGTGGTGATTGTTGAGGCCCCGCGAGCAGTCCACCCCAGCGGCGTGCAGCACCTGACGGCGACCGCCGCCGCCGCCGCCGCCTCGTCATCAGCATTATCGGCATCATTAACCAGCGGCGGCTGTGGCGGCGGCGGGGCAGGAGACGGCTCTTCGGGAGGACGACTTGGCCTGGTTCCGGAGCAGCTGGTAGTGGAGGCCCTGGCCCGGCGGCCTCATCTGCTGCGTCGCTGCGATCTGGCTGCTACAGCCGCTGATGCGGCGCTGTCGGCGGCGCTGGTTGAGGCCCACATGCGTTGCCTGGAATCTCAGCAACAACTGCAGCACCAGAGGCAAATGAAAGATGAAGAAGAAGAAAAAGAAGAACAAGGACAGCTGCAGCAACGCCAAGAGCGGAGCAAAGGTCAAAAACGGGGATGGGATGGGCAATTGCAGCCGCAGCCGCAGCCGCAGCAGCAGCCGCAGCCGCAGCAGCAGCCGCAGCCGCAGCCGCAGCCGCAGCCGCAGCAGCAGCAGCAGCAGACTCTAAAGCCGAGCCCGCAGCGGGCGACGGAAGGAGTAGCGTCAAGGGCGGCCAGTGAAGCCCCTCCTCTAGTACCCGGCCCCGAAACCAAGCAACAGGATTTGGAGCAGGAAGAGGCGGCGCGGAGGGCGCCATCTCAGCTTCGGGGTGCTCGCGCGCACAGCACAGGCTCTGGAGGACCTGTGCTGGCGCCGGTTGCGGTTGCGGCGGCGGAGGAAGCAGCCGGCGTGGTGGCGGCGGTAGCGGCGGCGGCAGCGGAGGAGAGGAATGCGAGGCCAACGCTGGGGGTGTTGCCGCGCACAACGGCAGCGTCGGCACGCTTCTTTGCTACGGACCCAACCGCTGCTGTTGTCGTACCCAGCGCCGTCAGCGGACTAATAAGTCCCCCTCGGACGATGGCAGCGACGCCGCGTGGCGCTGCCGCTAATGTTAGGCACTGGATGTCGGGCAGTAGCGGCCGCGGCGGCGGCGGCGGCGGAGCGGTGTCCGGCTCCGGTGGTTGGACGCTGACGGCGGCGGCCAGCGCCGCTGGTGACGGCGGTGGCGCGGGCCTTATGGAGGTAGCGGGTGATGTGGTGGCGGCCGAGGCAGCCGCGGCGGCGGCGGCGGCAGCGGCCGAGACGGCGGCCGTTGCGACAGTGGTGGGCGTGCCTGGGCCGCCAGCACCGGCGGCAGCGGTGGCGGCGGAGCCGTCCTCGGTAGCCGACGCTGCTGCGGAGGCAGCAGAAGCAGCGGGCGCGAAAACATCTGCGATCGGTGACGCCGGTGCGGGGAGCAGTAGCAGTAGCGCCGCCACCGCCGCATCAACCGCAGCCAGCGCCGCGGCGACGGCCACATCCCTGTTGTACGACTTCCTATTCCAGAAAAGGTCAACGAGTGCACGCGGCTTGAGCACCGGCGGCGCACCCTCCGCGGGCAGCACCGCCGCCGTTACGGCGGCGGCGGCAGCGCCAACGGCGACGTTGGCGGCTGTCACCGCGAAATCGGGACCATCCCCCGGGCTGACTTCTGCGCCAGCTGCTGGCGAGGCACCTGGGCCAATCGCGGCTCCCCTACCCCTAGTGCCCAGCTGTGGCACGTCACCCTCCCTCCTCCACGCCACCACAATTACCACAACCAGCGAGGCTCCACTTACACCTCCTCCGTCCGCCGCAACCGCGCACACCCCACCGCCCCGCGGCAGCTCGGGCAGCGCCGTCGCAGCGGCGGCGGCTTCACCGGAGGCGACCGGAGGCAGCCGCTCGGGCAGAGCCAGGGCACACGGCGGCGCCGGCGCCATCGCCGCCGCCACCGCATCCCTCCGCACCCCTCCTCCTCACGAAGTGCAACCGGCGGTGTTGCTCGCGGCTTTGCTGCAGGACCTACAAGAGCGTTGTGGACTGTTGCACTTGGGTCTGCAGCCAGTGTACGACAGCAGCGGCATGGCGTGTGGCGGCGGCGGCAGTGGTGTTGCGTGCCGGAGCGGGGTTGAGGAGGACTGCGGGCTCGTGGCCGGATGGATCGAAGATGTCGTGGCGGTGGTGGAGCCAGGTAAGGTTGGAGCGCTGTCATTTGGGCGCTTCAGACCCCGCAAAATCGACCGCTCTCAAACCTCGATCTAGACCCCCCTTCACATTCGCATTGACCCGTCTCGTACGGGTCCAACCACCACCCAATCCCGCTCTCCACTTCAGCCAATTATGACGATGATGATGATGATCAATTCCTTCCTCCTTGCCTTCTCATTAGGGTTGGCACGGGTACTATACTAGGAAAGAGTACTGTACTAGAATAGTACTAGAAATAGTACTACATACTATGCAGGGCTCTAAACTGGCACTAGTTTACGACGCTCGTACCGCGTTCGTACATAGTAAAATAATATAGTAAAAATAGTACTAGATAACACTAGATTTGGGTTTGGATAGTGTCAAGTATTAGTTGGACCAAGTCGAGATCTGCAGTCAAGCTGTATTTTGAAGGGCTATAGCCGCGTCTTCGAGCTGTGCTACGTAGTTTTGATGAATAATGTCGAGGGAATCCAGTATAAAGAATGACAAGGCGGTCAGAGGCTTGCAGCCTGGCCCAGACGTCCCCCCTGAAGTTCTCCGCTCTCGGAATGAGCTGTTCAACAAGCTACATAACCAGAAGCACACCAGCAGCAGCAGCAGCAGCAGCAGCAGGGCACCCAGGGAAACGCGCAGCTGCCGATGCTGACCCCGGAGGGTGTGCTGCCGTACATCCCTAACACGCAGATTGATGACTGATCGATGATAGATTGAGCTGCTGCAGTTTGCCGAATTGGAGGGTTACGTACTGGGCCGCACGGGAGGTTGTAGTGCAGGAACTTCACTAGTATGACGTCCGTGTGTTGTCTTGTGAACATTGGGTCTTCTATCTGTGATTATGTCTTTATGTGCCATAACACGCCTTGAGACATGGGGTTTGGGGTCCACCCACCGGGCACTGAACTAACAAAAAGTGATCTGGATGACCGCAGCGATCTGCTTTCTAATGTCTAAGTAGATATTTAGAAAGAACAAAAGAAGACTTTTCCAACGGTGTAATTTTCAGGTACAACGGTTGGCCGTACACCCCCCTTCTACTGGGAACGTGCACCTGCCTAGTAATAGTATCATAGTACTACATTACTATATATAGTACTATTTCTTACTATACTATGCTATTTGGTTTTTCAAATATAGTATTCTTGCCAACCCTACTTCTCATACACCTCTCATACACCCCCCTCAACACACCTCCCAGCTAAATCCAGTCCCACAACGTCATCACTTTTATCGCCATCGTTTCTTGTGTGCAGGTCCCGACGCGGATCGCATCCTGTCAGAGCTGGGCTATCCTACCACCACCACCACCACCAGCGGCGGCACTCCGCGGCCCAGCTTGGCGTCGCTATTCGCGGCGACGAAAGGGGCGCCCCTGGAGTCGAGTCGCTGTCGCTCTTATCGGCTACTGGCCCGCCAGGAGGTCTGGCACAACGGCTGCCCGCTGGCCACGCTGCTACTGCAGGTCACCCGGCCCGCCGCGCTGCTACGTCCCAGCGACCTGGCCGCCATGGGGCCGCAGCTCAGCGGTCTCGTAATCACCGCCGCCGCGCCGCTGCCGCCCGCCGTCACGACCGCCCTGCTCTACGCCGGCGCCGCGGCAGTGATCTGCCCCGACACGCCGCTGCCGCCGCCGCAGCCGGCCCCCACCACGCTACCCGCCGATATGTCCGTACAGATCCCGTACATGGCCGTGCCGTACAGCGCTGCTGGAGGAGCTAGCGGGCATCAAGGTTCGCAAACACAAACGTCGTCGGTCCTCTCATCTGGCGGGCTGCAGGCGGCGGGTGGCGGTATCGGGAACACTGTCATGAACGGGTCTGGGTCTGGATCTGGGGCTACTTGCGCTGCAGGAGGAGGAGGAGGTGCAAATGTGGGTCCTGATGTGCTCGTGAGTTACTTTGAGGCGCTTGTGGGGGAGCTTGTGGAGGGGTCGACGGTGCTGGGCGCGATCACGGCGGCGGACCGGCAGCATGCCGCGTTGCGGGACCGCATCGTGTTCCACCACTTATGATAACAGCAGCAACAACAGCAACAGCAGCAGCAGCAGCAGATAACAGCAGCAGCAGCAGCAAAACAACAACTCTCCTCAAATGAACCTACCCAGCTTTCTAAAGCTCAGCTGCGAACCCTATAGCTCCTGGCCCTAGCTTCTTGGCTACTAGCTCCCAAGCCATGAATATTCCGCCGTAGTATTCCGCAGGAGGAGGGAGGGGTTGCTGGTGTGGGAGGGGACTCTTGGCGTGTGTGCGTTACGAAACAGAGGATGCAGCGCATGCGGTAGTGGGTAGGCAGGCAGGTAGGTAGCTAGGCAGGTAAGCAGATCGGTAGGTAGGTATTGTAATTTAAAGTGTTATTAAAAGGTCACACATGTGGTGCAGCCGTGCCGTGCATTACATGTATGGATGGATAGGTCTGGCCATGGCGCGGCGATTGCTGGTTTGTATGTTACAAATACAAAATGTCGAGGAAAAAGGGAACAGGAAAAAGAAGAAGAACCCCCGAGCGGGACCCGCATGTTGCTCCGGACACCTACACGTCTTGCAGGTTGGTTTTGTTGCAATGTGGGTTTGGCTCGTTTTACAGCACTGCATGGGTCGTGAAAGTATATGTATGGCCATCTTCTAAGGATTTTGCAGGTACGGCATCATTTGCTCCTGGAGCCGAGGGGGTTGTACGACATCGTACGGGTGAGTGTGTCATCGTAGCTAGTGTTAACCGTCGCCGTCGCCGCTGCCTGGGGCTAGTCCCTCCATGACCCCTCCATGACCCTGGGGGCATGGGGAGTTGTATATCTATGTATGTATGTGAGGAGTGCGTGCGTCATCGAGTTCATACACACACACACACACACACAAACACAAACTCACACATGTATGGGCGGAGGCTCCTGCTTGCGCGCGTGTTGTCTCTCGTGCTAATCGTTATGTGAGGTGTTCTGCGCGCATTATGGCGGGTGGCTCGAGTGGCCTTTCTACGTTAGCACTAGAATGCGCTACACGTCCTCCTAGGAAGGATCCGTACAATGTCGTGAATGAGGACGTACAGCAGTTTGGGGGGTCCTTAGAGAATAACACCCCGCAGAGTGTAAGGAACGTCAAAAGCTAGGAGGCCGGAACTTACCTCCAGTGGTGTGCAGTGATTTGGTACTACAGTCGCATCGGTAGAGCATGTGCATTTGCATGTGCAGCGTACACTACTACGTCCGTATATGATCCTAATTAATTGCCGTACCGTGCGGGTTGTGGTACACGGCTATTGCCGTGTCGGTGGTGGAAAAATAAATGTCAAATATTTGTAGGGTTTGCTGTACAAAGGACTGCACAGGTGGTGCAGTAATAACGATGTAGACTTGATCATCTCCAGGACGTTGCGGACTTCACCACGTATTGTAAGGACAGAAACGTGTGGTTCAAATCTCGGTGTCGGTGTTTGCCGCATCTTTAACATGTCATACTACAGTAGCATATCCAATTAATCAGATCCGAACCGTTCAGCAAGTGTCCGCATGTTGCGGCTCCCGTACAGCCATCAGATGATTCGGGTTTTTCATATGCATGGTTTGGCATGGCCTGTAAAAAGACGCTGGCTCAGAGAGAGTGTATGTGTGTGTTTGTGTTTTTTTCGTGTGTATGTGTGTGTGTGTGTGTTTTGTTTGTTACAGTGGGCTCGTGACTGACTCATGGACAAGAGCCATGCGTGTACAGGTGACTCACTGTCATGGCGAGTGACACACGATCCCATGTATTTATTCACTCATCGCACATTGCCGTCGTGCTCCGTCCTGAAGGCTTCCGTACCTTTCCAAACAACCGAAACTCAAAGTATGAACAGCCAGATCCGAAACCAAAAACCACAGCAATAACCAACACCTCCCACGGCGCCGAATCATCGCGATCCTGTTCAACCGTACATAAAAACATGAAACATCAGCTCTGATATGCACCGTGACATACCGTACGAAAAAAACCCCGTTCAGATGAAGACATGCAAGATCAGACAATAACAAAAGAGAACGAAGCCAGACGGATTCGTACAATTTGTGCAGCTTGTTTCTCCCCCCCGTTTGAGTCCGGTCATTTCTTATAAACATGGAGAAGCCAATTTAACCGAAGTCCCCTAGAAAAGGTGGACACCTTGCGACAGTAAAAGCCGCTTAGATCAATGAAAAAAACATCAGTCTCCGGAACGCATAATTTGAGGCGTATATATGTATGTATATGTGTATGTATGTACGTTCGTGTGCAGGTACTTCTGGCAGTAATTGACGCACTCCCTTCAGCTGATGCTATCGTGATCGTCATCGTGATCGTCATCGTGACCGGGCATGTCCGGGCATCTCATTGCGCATCTGTTCTATTCCCACAGCACAGGTGTTTTGCCCCCGAGCCCTCCTGACCTCCACACGCCCACTACCTACATTTCCTCCTCCGCCGGCTCCTCCCGAATCGCTTCCAACCCGCGGGGCCGTACGGCATCCATCATCGTTGCAACACTGACGCTGGCGCCGGCGGCGCTGCTGCCCGTGATGCACCCGGTTCCGTTCCCAGCTGCGTACGGATCCACCGGATGTGGCGCCGTCGTCAGGTGACTCATCGCCGTCGCCGTCGCCGTCGCCGTCGGGGACATGAACAACGGTCGATCGGCCCCGCTGCCGTCTTCACTATTGCCGTACCCCTCACGGCTTTCATGACTGTCGCCGCCGCCGTTACCGGCCCTGTGACAGGTGAGCAGCGCCGGCAGGGCGTCACAGAGCTTGTCGTCGATGTTGTTCTGCTCGGGGTCTGGAACCAGCTCCCCACCGCCCCCACCGTCGCCGCCGCCGCCGCCGCCACCGCCGCCAGGCAACAGGTGCTCGTACCGGCTTGCGGTGACGGCGGCGGCGGCGGTGGTGGTGCTTACTTCAGAGCGATCCAACGCCGGCAGCGGGGCTTCTGCCGTACCACCTACACGTTCCTCAACCGCCGCCGCTGCCTCGACGCCGCCTCGCCTCCCAACTTCCGGAAATGGCAGTACGACAATATCGCTCCGTCGGACCATGGTGACGTCTGCGAGCGCAGGCATCACTTGCACGGCGCTAGCTGCCGCGCTGTCGCTGCCGCCGCAGTAGCCACCGCCAGCGCTGCTCTCCATCACCGCAGCAGCAGCGTCATCCACATGGCCCACAGGCCGGTGGTTCTGAGGTCCAACATGTCGTGCTTGCTGGTACGGCTGCTCGTACGGCTGCTCGCACAACTGTTGATACGGCGGTTGGTACGGTAGCCGCGGGTACGGCTCCCGCAGGACGGGCCCTTGCTGCTGCCGCTGCTGCTCATTTGCTGGAAGCCGGACACGTTGAGCCGCCGTGGCCTCACACGTTCGCTGAGTTGTACCCACCATCGCCGCGAACGCGGTGGCAGCCACCACATCCGGTTCGGGGGCACCCTGCAGCTGCTGCGGAAGAGCAGCGGTGCCCGCGGCCCATATAGCCGTCGCTGTCGTAGAAGCGGTATCTGGCAGGGTACCCCCCCCGACAGCACCCACGCCCACGCCCCCACCCACATAGGGTATTTGGGGCAAGTGCCAGTCGGGTGCAGCTGGGCCATCCCGCACCTGAGCTTGTAACGGGGGCTGGATGACCTTACCTCCGAGCTGTGCATGCGACTGCTGGTGTTGCTGGTGCTGCTGGTGCTGCTGGTGCTGCTGGTGTTGCTGGTGTTGCTGGTGTTGCTGGTGCTGCTGGTGATGGTAGTGCTGCTGTAGCAGTACGGCTTGATGGTGTGGCAGCTGCGGCGGAAGTACGGCAGGAAGGGCCCGGCCAGGCATAGCTGCAAAGACCTCACCGCCTATCCCACCACCACCACCACCACCGCCACGGCCGCCGCTTCCAGTCGCGTTGGTCTTGATGGTCATAGCAGCAGAGGGCGCCCAGGCAGCATCACCTCTTCCCAGGCAGCACCACCAAACGGCGAGCGACCGAAGCCGTGATCCGATCTCCTCAAAGCCGGGTCGTTGCAGGTGGTTGAGCTGCAAGCACTCCGAAACCAGCTCGCAGTACTCCGAGGGGCAGCCCGGGGGCAGGAGAGGGAAGTCGCAGTGCTGTACATAACCACCCGGAGCGACAGGATCCGGAACCCAGATCTGCAGCAGCAGCACACGCATGTCCAACTGGTGAAAGTGGTTCACGGTGAGAGCCACCCAGTAACTGAACAGGGCAAAATACAGAGAGGTATGTGCGCTAAAAGATTATATATCCGATTAGCTTTGGAACCCCTTTAAAGCGGCCCTGGGGGCGGATTTGCTCTGTGACACGGCGTTCATGAAGGTATGTCCATGTCCCTGGGCCGGCTGGTCTCTGCCGGTTACCGGCCGAAGACTGTTAACTCTCCGAGGAAATTGCGCAACCCTCGGGATCGAAAGCGACCTTCTGAAGCGCCACGCTGAGCATCAGCAGGTTTGACCGGCCTTCAGGAACGCTTGGACAATAGGGCAGTTGTTGGTTCTTTACAAAACGCCTTCCTGGTTGCCCTTTGCCGGAAGGAACGAAGGAAGGGCGCATCCGGCGATGAAAAAATACTAGCATCCCAAAATTCCACCGGTACACGTAGTTGATGAGTTTACTAGGAAATGGTGAATCCGAAAAGAAAGGAGTCGCGAGGTGTGTAAGGAGTGGCCGCTCAGCCGACCCTCGTGAGGGGGAGAGAGGGAACGCGCGCGCCCTGTCCGAGACTGAGAGGCAGGACGACACGTGCGGGTCAACTCGGATTTTACGGAGTTGCGTCTTAACAATCCTGATGCGGATAATGACCAGCCCCAGGCCCACACGGGGATGGTCATCTTCATCTTCATCGATGACAAGCTGGGGCCCCCGAGCCGCCGCATCTAAGGGCCATCCGCACCCTACACCGCTGTAGGCACCGTGGCAAGTCGACAGCTCGAGACCACATCACACGAGGGGCCGGGCCCGTCCGAAACTGGAGGAGCTCGCCCGCAAGAGCCATCGCGCTCCTGGTCGCGCTCCTGGACCAGGACCAGCACAGTCCCCCCCACCTGGGACGGACGGAGCTGGACATCCCCCAGCAACTCCCCCCCCACATTGACGGCTGCAATGTGACTGGTCAGCCCACATGACGAAGGACCTCCCCCAGGGGAAGACCGTAGGATGCGAAAGGGTTGTCGGCCTCAGAGTGCTATACGTGGTAGAGTACGCCAAGAAGGCGGCAAGTGAGCATGATGCCGAGGAGGATAGGACAGAAAGTTTAACAAGCCAGCTTTTGTGCCCATCCTACACGCACACCCTTTTTGGAGCACATCAGGGCAACGGGTGACTTCCCTGAGCAGTTCACCGCTACCACAATGTTGTAAACAACCGACTTCGAAAGGTTTCCTTTCCATCGCTTAGCACAGTTCGTTAGAATCACGTCACGACGAATGGAAAACATGCAGTCTACAAAAATGCAACAGTGTCAGCTGCCGATGTACTGTTTTTGAGGAGGAAGGAGTGAGGCGAAAAGAAGGAAGGACGTGCACGGCTATTGGCGACAGAAGGGGACCAACGAGACAGGCAAGGACGGGGGGGGGTGCCTGGCCCCACCGTGTGTGTGAATGTGTGTGTATGTGCGTAGTGGCAATAGTAGCAGTAGTAGCAGTAGTAGCAGTAGTGGCAGTAGTAGCAGTAGTAGCAGTAGTGGCAGTAGTAGCAGTAGTAGCAGTAGTAGCAGTAGTAGCAGTAGTGGCAGTAGTAGCAGTAGTAGCAGTAGTAGCAGTAGTGGCAGTAGTAGCAGTAGTGGCAGTAGTAGCAGTAGTGGCAGTAGTGGCAGTAGTAGCAGTAGTGGCAGTAGTGGCAGTAGTGGCAGTAGTGGCAGTAGTAGCAGTAGTAGCAGTAGTAATATAACTCACTGGTCGGCCCCAGTACAGCTCCCAAAGAAGCACCCCGAAGGCGTACGTGTCAGCAGCTCGGGACATGATGCCCAGCTGGGACAGCTCCTGGGGGGGCGGGGGGACCCGGGGGGGAGAAGGCGGGTGAGTGGGGGGCGAGGGTGTGTCAACACGGGGCGAACAGAACACAGTCCACTTACTGCCTAAGTGACCGATGCCTAAAAAGCTCAGAAGACCACAGATGGACGCAAACTATAATTGCTGACCTTATTGTACAACGTATCCGGTTCGAACCCCAAAGGGAACAGCTGCTGCCAAAACCTCACCCTTTCGTCCTCCCTTCTCCCTTTTTCCCCTTCTCTCCCGCCTCACATACCGGTGCCGCGTAGAACGGAGTGCCCTGTCGCAACCCGCTGACGTGGCTGTGCTCCATCTTTACGCTAAGGCCAAAGTCCGCTACTTTGATGGCAAAGCCGCAGCGACCGGCCAGAGGGTAGTCGCTGTACTGCGAAGACGCCGCCGCCGCTGCTGACATTTTGGTCCCGAGCCATCGACCGTTAGCCTGAGGGGTTTCGGAGCCTCCGCCGCGTGTTACCATCTTGAGTAGCACGTTCTGCAACAACGTGAGATAAGAAAGGTGCCAGGGGAAAAACACAGTTACGTGCCCTCAATTTCGCACACAACCTCTCTCCACCACACATACATGCACACATAGGATCCGTCTGCCAACTGCCAACTGCCAACCACCACTGACACAAAAACAAGCACACGCGTCCACGCTCCCACACGCACCTTGGGGTTCAGGTCCCCGTGTACGATGTTCTTCGAGTGCAGGTGGGCCAGCGCAGCTGCCACCCCTTGAGCGATATCCAGGATCATGTCCTGGCCATGTATGAGTGTGTATGCGTGTGTACGTCGAGTAGAGGGGGGCGCCCCCAGGGTAAAGGGAGGGGGGGAAAAGAGCACACCATGCGGGCAAGAGGTGAGGGTGAGAAGCGTGTGTGTGTGTATGCGTGCGTGCGTGTGTGTATTGATGGAAATCGGCCCAAGCAGTATATGAATTAGGAAAACACCAAGGGGTGTTCCGAGTTACCGGCCCGTAAGGCGCTGGGACAGGGAATCCGGTCGGTTGAGGTGGGAGGTGGGAGGTGGGAGGTAGAGGGGCCAGGGGGGCTGCGGTGCGAATGGGAAGGGGGAGCGACATCATTCAACGTGTCATCCCTCTTTCTTTCCTCCCCTCTTCGTTTCATACGTTCCCGCATCCGGGCACGATGGCATACAACGCCACTGCCACCGCACAGCCGACTTCCACTGTCTGCTCCCTGTGCGGCACAGAGGACCTCAGAGTACCTCAGAGCACCAAGTACTAGCAGCAGCATCCCCGCGCCCTTCTTAACTGCCTCTGTACCACTTACGATTCGCGGCGTGCAAAAATGGTGTGGGTGCGGGTGTTTCAGTTCTTGATGGAAGGTTCCGATGTCCAGCGCCCGCCTCAGAGTCCCCCCGTCAGCGAACTCCTGGATGATGTACAGCCGCCACTCCTGTTAACAATGGTGGTGGTGGTGGTGGTGGTAGCGGTGGTGGTGGTGGTGGTGGTGGTGATTGCGGTGGTAGATGAGGACGGCAATGTGGTGAAGTACCCAGGGGGGGGGCTGGAGAGTTACGGCAGGAGGCGGAGGCTGTGATCATACATCTGAGGCAATATGGTAATATGAGCGCAAAAAGCAGCCGCCGCAGTAGCAAGCGGCGTCCATGGCAAAACACATCACGTGTATGTCGGTACTCAAGGCCATCATCACAAAGATGTGGGCAGTGTGGGAATCTGGCAGCTGGGCAGCTGGGCTCGAATCCCTTCCTCCTTCCCATCCTCCGTCTCCTCCTTTCCCTCCCTCCCACCTTCCCTCCACCTCCTCCCACCCCCCCCCCGCCTCCCCCCCACGCGTACCTCAATATCTGCCAGGCTGCGGCTCCTGGCCTCGTGCCTAGGCAGCGGCTTACCGCTGGCATCGCTACCACCGGCTTCACCACCACCACCACCACCACCACCACCACCGCCGCCGCCGCCACCCTTGCTACCGCGTCTCAGCACCGCCATGGGCTTTGCGTCCACAGCGTACGTCGCGATGATGTTCGGATGGCTGATGGATTTGGAAAGGGCTGCCTCCTGCGAATGGCAATAGGGGGGAGTGGGGGGGATGGAGAGTGGAGGTCCCCAACTGACCCAGGGGCGGGGTCACCGGCATCATCACCAACTTAGGGTTTGGCACTTTGCCACCCGGGGGCTGCCGTACCGCCCAACTAGTTGACCTCACTATCCCGCGGGGCAGCACTATAACACTACAGCTACTGACCCACGGGTCACTGCCACCGTAACGGCACTCCTTTCCCATGCCTTTATACGTCTTGTGTTCCAGGATTTTCACCCTTCTTCTACCTTTGGAGTGGCCAATCCCCTCCCCGCCTCTTCCTCTTTTCGCTATAGCTCTATCTCCTAGTCCCAGGTCTGCACGCCCCGCTCCAGCGGAGATCCCCGTCCGCCCTCCCCTTATTAGACCTGCAGCGGGGGGCCCGCTGGTGAAGCTTAACCACCCTGTAACGACATACAGACCTGCAGCGCGATCCGCCTGTTGGTGGAGGCTGTGGAGAAGAGCACCACCTTGACCGCCACGGGCAGGTTGTGCCAAGTGCCCCGGTACACAGTTCCAAAGCCACCACTGGCCACCACATCCCTCACCATGAGCTGGTTGTCGTCAATCTGTGCGGTGTGGCGTGGGGTGGAGTGGTATGGTGGAAGGGCGGCCGCTCAAGGAACAGATGTGAGAGGATATTACATACATTTGTTAGGCAAACAGGCCAAATGCATTCTGTACAACTTATGGATTTCTACCCCGCGTGAGGTACGGCGCCACATCAAGGGGGGGGAGGTATGCGGTGGAGAAGAGAAGGCTTGCGGGGTGGAGGGGGTAGTAACGGGCGACTGGAGTGTGGTTCTGGAGCTACTGATCCCAACCCCTCACCACAACGCCTCTCTTCCCCCCGCGGGGGGATGTTAAGCCCACCCACCTACCCAAACCCCAACCTAAAGAAGCCGCACCTCGCCAGCCAGGTCCAAGCTCAATCGCAGTAACTCCTCCAGAACGGGGCTCTGAGATACTTGATGGTGAAGTCCAGGGGGGAGCGAGGCGGCGGTAGCGGCGGCGGCAGCGGCAGTGATGGTGCTGCCTGCTGCCGTACCCTTGCCGCACATGCCGCCGCGCTCGGCGGCCCCGCCGCCGGCCTCTTCCACGTCGCCGTCGTGGCCTGCTGGCGCCGCCGGCAGCGGCGCCGGCACCAACGTCCCTGGCCCCGTACGGCCGCCGGCTGCGACGTCTGTTTGAGCTGCAACCTGGCCGTTTCCCTCGACCGCAGGCGCTACTGCTGCCGCCGCTGCTGACCCTGCTAATGCTGACCCTGTGACTCCTGCCACCGCCGCAGTAGCCGCATGAGCGGCTGAGCCGGGGCTACTGCCGCGCTGCTGCGGCAGCGGACTCCCGTCATCTTTTTCCCCGGCCTTTTTGCCACAGCTGCTGCCGCCGCCGACGCTGCATGCTATCCCTGGACCTGGCGGTTGGCCCGCCGTACTTTTCTTGTCCCACGCCCGCTCCCTACCGTGCGTCCCTCCGGCCTCCCAACACCAGCTCATCCTCTGCACTAAGGCATGGGGCAGCGCCAGCAGCCCGGGGACTTGCTGTGGATTGGTAGCACCGCCGCCGCCACCCGCAGGGCTGCCGCCGCTGCCGCTGCCGGTGCTGCCACCCACACTGCTGCGGCTGCCGCCGGTAAATCCGGGTTTGGTTCCGGAGCGGAAACCGCGGCTGCCACCGCTGTCCATCATGCCGCCGCCGCTCTCCCGCCCGCCGGCCGCGGCTGCAGCAGCTGCGGTTGCGTTGGATAAATTGGCCACCCCCAAAATAGTCAGGTGTTTAAAGATTTCTGCAAGCTCAATGGCATTGATATTAGCGGGATCCGCTGCCGCTGCCGTAATTGCCGTCGCCGCCGTCACGGCGCACGCGCCGTCTGAACCGACGGCACAACAACTGGACGCGCCGCTGGTGGCGGCAGCAGCGGCGGTGGCAGCGGCGCCAAAGCTAGCACTGGTCGTGTGGCCGGCAACTATGGTGGCGACAGCAGTAGCCTGGCTGTCTGCCGTACTGCCGCCTGCACGCTCCAGCTTGGCCGCCACGGCTTGATCCTTACCCGCCAAGTGATCCAAAATCAGTTGCGCCAACGGATTTTGTTGGCTGATCTGCTCAAGCTGGTTGGCTTGTAAGCCTCGAAGGCCCGCTTCCTGCTCCTCGTGGCGGCGGGAGCGGCTGCGGCGGACGCCGTACATCAGCGCCGCCACCGCCAGCAGCAAGCAGCCGGCAGCGCCGCCGACGGCGCCGCCGACGATTGCGTGGGTGTTTGTACGCGCACTAGAGCCATTCCGATACGCACCTGTTGTTGGTTTCGGGGCGAAGTGAAAGGAAACCGTGACAGGATGGGCGACACGCCAGAAAGAGGGATGAGCTGAAAGCAGGTGTTGGGTTGTTTCAATTATAAGCTTTTAGTGGGATATAATGACAGTACGTGGCTCCTAATGGGAACATTAATCAATCAGCAAGAAAACCTCGCACGTGCGCATGTCCACGCCCATCTTTCAACTAAATGCATTTACCCCGGTGAAAAAAACCATTTCAATTTACATTCGTGTGTTCGGTCTGGTGTCTTTCGGCCTTTTTTTAGGCTTTTTATAAGTCGCTGTTCACCGCGGACAGCGCCAAATTTTGATGCTCCCCCTCATACCTTGCATGAGCAGCAGCAGGTCAGGTCGTTGAAGATCCGGATCCACCGCCAGTTCCAAATCGGTGGCTTCAACGGAGTTCATGGCCAGGCTGGAGATAACCACACGCCCGGACTCGCGACTCAGGAAGCTCAGCTGTGTGAGACAGAGTACGCGCGCGTGTGTGTGTGTGTGTGTGTGTGTGTGTGTGTGCGCGCGTGTGAGTGTGAGAGAGAGTGTGCATGTGCGCGCACGTGTGTGTGTGTGTGTGTGTGTGTGTGTGTGAGAGAGAGAGAGAGAGAGAGAGAGAGAGAGAGAGAGAGAGAGAGAGTGTGTCTGTGTGTGTGCGCGTGCGCGCGTATGCGAACATAAGGAGTGAGGAGGAGGCGGAGAAAGGGGAAGAGGAGGAGGACGAAAGGAGCGTTGGTTGTGCATCGAACTGGGAAGCAACTACAACAGCAACGACCGTATGAAGCTAAAACTCTCCAACATAAAACCTTAGAACCCTAAAACCAAGTCAGGAGGGGCAGCGCGTACTCTTGGAGGAGCTCCAGGCGGCTCCGGCGAGCAGCCCTTAGAATACAACACTCCTACACTCCTACATAAACAGCCCTTTTTTGCAGCACAAGCTGACGTCAGACCAGACATAAACAGCACCCTCTCATCGGTCTACCCCCTCTCCCCTTTCCACCGAGCTCACCGCCGCCCGGTAGCTTAAGCTTATTTAGTTCCGAACCCGGACCGCCTGTTTCCCCGACCGACCACGTACCTGCGTGCCCTGGGGTATCAGCTGAGCGCAGATGTCTCCGAAAAGACCTGGAAGCAACGGTGTAGCAGCAGCCCCGCCGCCGCCGGCGCCGCCATTGACAGCCCCAGACCATGATGACGATAACGACAGCGACGACGGCGATGCTAATGAGGCGCCCACGGTTGTGCTGTTGGTGGTAGTGCTGTTGGTGGTGGTGCTGGCGGTGCTAGCGGCGCTGTTGTTGTAGCTTTCCAGGCACCTGAGCAGCAGGTCCATCTCTTGCGAGGAGATGAGCATCCTGGTGGACTGGAGGCTCACACGCCGCTGCCCCGTGCTGTACGGAACAAGAGGGACAGTTCCCCGGGGGGTGCCGTACAGTCCGGGGAAGGGTTTCAGGGATTAGGAGGGGAAAATCCAACGGGGCACCCGGAACCGCACGAACTGCATACACCTATACATACATACATACATACATACATACATACATACATACATACATACATACATACATACATACATACATACATACATACATACATACATACATACATGACACATGTGGCGGTGATGGTGACGGGGAGGGTTGTGGATTACGAAAGAGGGGAAAGCTCTACCGCGGCGTGGTGTGTGTAGTCCTTTCCTTCCTTCCCCCCTCCGAGCTTTGTCCGTCCCTATCAACCCCATCTCCACCCGGGAGTAGTTAGTTTCCTTCCAGGTGCTTCTCCTTCACTCCCTCACCACGGACTTCCTTATACTCGCTCGAGTCTACTTCTGTCTTATCCGAAGCCCCTTCCCTGGCTTCTCAGAAACCCTCCTTAACCCACCGTTCGAAGCTCACGACCCACATCCCCATCTGCAGATAGCTCTGAGGTGACAACTGCTGAGCTGCATTCGCCGGCGTGTAATTCGCCAACCATCCGGCTCCACGCAGCGTCAAGTACTTAAACGCCACCTCACCACCACGCCCAACAGCGGCCAGAAGCCCCGTCCCCAGTCCAAAATCCAGCTCCACGCCGCTGTACGGCTTGCCCTGTGCGATTATACGACGCAGCACAGGCAGCTTCGCGGCGACGCTGCGAGGGAGCCCGTCCGCCACCGCCAGGGAAATGTTGTTTTGCAGAAGTAGGAGCACGGCAGTTGTATTGCTGTTCGTTAGGCCGTCGGCCTGAGCTAAACGAGTGAAGCGGGCGTCGGGAAAAGCGAGTGTACGGCGCAGCTGTGCAGCGGAGTAAATGGCGACGGTGTACGGCGGTCCAGCGAAGATGTCTGAGCCTAGGAGCTGGTCGACCCCGGTGAGGGGTCGCAGCAGCGGCGGCAGCGTCATCAGGTGCTCGAATGATGGGCTGCTGCGTATCGCATCGTCGCTGGCAATGGCAGTGGCAGTGGCGTTGATGACCGGGGCGGATAATGGTTGCGTGATGATGGTGATGTTGGCGCACGTTACTCCCATGCCGGTAATCTGGCTGAATGTGAGGCTTTCGTTGGTGATTCGGGGATACTTTGGAAGGGAAGCAGAACGGTATGGGATGGGATGGCGGGCGGGGAGAAATAAGGGATGAATGAATGAATGAATGGATGAGTACGATGGAGAGGCACGAGTCAGAGGCCAGGGTCAGGCTCATAGTGAGAGGGTTGCAGAGAGTGCAGAATTTCAAGTAAAGTCATTGCTAGTACTGCTGCTGCTGCTGCTGCTGCTGCTGTTGAATCGGTCAACAGAGCCAAAACGTCGTAGGGGTTAGGCCGCGCAGAGCGAGGGGGGAGGGGATAATGCGGGGCAAAGAAGTCGAGGAAAGGGAGTCGAGAAGGTGGGAAGATTGTATAATGGGTGGGGTTGGTTGGGGGCCAACATGGGGACGGCCATGTGAGTCATAAAGTGCCAAAGTAAAATTCTGCGAAAGCTTTGCTCATATGTCCCAGCAGCTATGCAGCCATGCAGCCAGGTTGTGCTTTTGTGGAAGGTGGGGAGGAGTTCTAAGCGTCAAACAGGCTAGGGTATCAACCAGGGGATAGGAGGCCAGGGGAAGGTGCAAGATGCGCAGTACAGATAGCTCAAGGTACAGATCGGTCAAGACGGTAGAGAATACAGAGTGGACCGCCATTGCCGTACGGTAGCGGAAGCAACTCCGCCCACAGGGGAGCATTCGCGCGTTAACCATCTTATGACGTACGACAAATACATACGACAAAACAATCCCCCAAACCGTCCGTCCACCACAGCACCACAGCCGCCATAAAGACACCGGGGGTTCTCACATTATCCATGCTTCCGATCAAATGCTGCCAGGCTGCCAGAGCCGCAACCGCCTGCAGAGGATTGCTCAGTATGGATGTCCAGAACAGCAGGTGCGCGAATTCATCACGTGCAATAACACCAGTGGTGTTGACCATGTGCAGCCGGCCCTCTCCAACCACATTGAGGTCCCTGGGGGGTTTCGGAGGGTGAGGAGGGTGAGGAGGGTGGTTTTAGGTTTTAGGTTTGGCAACTGGTGGCTTAGGTGTTGTCGGAGTACTACGGTGCGCGCCAAAACGTAGAGATGGAGAGATAGAGGAAATTGTGAGGTCCTGCAGCGTGGAGAGGTAGTGGACTATATTATTGTAGGCCTTGCCTCTCCCGCTGTCCCGCCCACTGTCCCTCCCTCCCTCCTGAAGTACTTACCCACGTCTCCTCTCCACCCAATATCCAGACCCCCAGTCGCGGCAAACACCGACATCACACTGCTCTCGTCCCACCCCTTCCGCTCCGTTTGCGCTCCATCCCTTCCCCCTATTTCCTTCCCGGCCCTTTCCCCCCCGGCCGGGTCCTCCCTGTACCGCATTCTCCCTTACCTTTCAAAATTGAACGCCCAGATTGGCACAGTGAACACACCAACCGGTGCCGTTGCAAGGTTCGTCACCACCAAATTGTGCATTCGCACAAACGCGGCACCGCGCAATTTAAACAGATTCAGGCCGCCAGCAAAATCCAGCACCAGCAACTGCCCCGGGGCGCATTCAAAGGTAACATTCGATGTGATGAAGAGCCCGCCGCCGCCGCGCGGCCAACGACTCACATCCAGCGTTACGTCGCTCAGCAGGCGCAGCACGGTCATGTGTGTTTCACAGCGTGCCAGATGTGTGCTTTCAAGCGTGGTCAACGCGTTGACCAGGTCGTCGTGGCTGGAAACGTTGACAATGGTGGGTGGGAGCGTTTGGGGGCAGGCGGATGGCTGGATATCCGCATTCGCTGCGCAGGACAGCGTGAGGTCCTGCGGGGGATGAAACAGCGAAGAGTGGCCGCAGCGGGATGCAGCGGGACGGGACGGGGTGTGTATGAGTCCAGGACGGGCAGAAAGTCGATGGGTTAAAACGTTTTGGTGCGGTGACCTGACCATCTCTAATGGTGGTCATGAAATAGCAGCAGCGATATTGTTCTCTATATCCAACATGCAAAATATCTAAAACCCCTGAAACTGAGATGCATAGGTGGCGAGAGAGAAGCTGGTAACAAAAATGTGACCATTCGCCTTAGTGGAAGTAGTTTGCGGTTGAGCAGCGTGCAAGTGTGTTGGCGAATAGGGTGATAGGGCTCGGTGACTCTGAACGGCCGCCCGGGTCTAGAACCGAGAGGCGCTACGGATGCCCTGTCGTGGCTTTCTGTGTCGTACGGAGTTCATGTGCCTCACCTCCACCCAGACCGGCCCAAGCCGGGCGTATTTGATGAAGAGGTAGGGATACACCAGCTGCAGGAGGGGTTTTAGGGTTTTTAGGGTTTTTAGGGTTTAGGCAGGAAATGGGAGGCGAGCATTCCACGTGGTAGAGCTGGTACGCCTGTGTAACGGCTACAGACAGATCACAAACGTTCTGTTAGGAGAAGACAACACGTGGAAGTCCGTAACAATAAGGTATGTGATGTGCATGTGTGTATATGGTTGTTAGAGTGGGCTCCAGACGCACGAAGAGTAGAACCAGCGGGCCAGGCACTGGCCGTGCATTACTGCTGCACCTGAGACAACCAGGGCAGTCAGGGCACCCACCCTGGCCAGGCAATGCAAGGCGCCTAGATAGACTGCAGAAAGCGAACTCAAACGGCTCAGAAACGGCTCGGAAACACACAACCATTGGGGAATTTGCCAATAGGCTCCCCAATCGGCGGATGTCCTCGGACCCCCACCGTGTGATGTCCTCGGACCCCCACCGTGTGATGTCCTCGGACCCCCACCGTGTGATGTCCTCGGACCCCCACCGTGTGATGTCCTCGGACCCCCACCGTGTGATGTCCTCGGACCCCCACCGTGTGATGTCCTCGGACCCCCACCGTGTGATGTCCTCGGACCCCCACCGTGTGATGTCCTCGGACCCCCACCGTGTGATGTCCTCGGACCCCCACCGTGTGATGTCCTCGGACCCCCACCGTGTGATGTCCTCGGACCCCCACCGTGTGATGTCCTCGGACCCCCACCGTGTGATGTCCTCGGACCCCCACCGTGTGATGTCCTCGGACCCCCACCGTGTGATGTCCTCGGACCCCCACCGTGTGATGTTGTAGGTAACGGCCCCGCATTCTTGCTGAGAGAGCCCGTATGTATGATGTGTGAGAGCCCGTATGTATGATGTCACCCTAGCCGACTTCTCAGTGGATCGCTCAGGTTCAGCACCCACCACCGGCATCCAACGGAATCTGCCGGATCAACGGCGGCTCAACTCCATTCCTGGTCGGCTCGCGAGTCAACTTTATCCCAGGTCACCACCGTCCATCGACTAGGGGGCACTCTTACCTTCCACCATCGGAAGGATTTTCGACCTGACATGGTCTCGATCCCGGAACCTCGGGGGGCATCGTATGTATGTATGTATGTATGTATGTATGTATGTATGTATGTATGTATGTATGTATGTATGTATGTATGTATGTACAGATGGTATGTACGTATGTATGTACATATGTATGTATGTACATATGGTATGTCCACAGCCCATACTGGCAGCACGCGAAAGGCGGGAAGGTATGTGCAATTGTGTGTATGTTACAAAACTCAGTGGCTTCATCAAAGCTGTGCGCCTCTGGTGGAGCAGAGGACGGCGCCCTCCTCTGCTGGCCCGGACATGGGCCCCCGTTCCTTGCCGTACTAACGTCATCAGATCTCACCCGGTGGTTTGGCGTAACGTTTCTGGCGACGTTGGAAAGGTAGTCCCTGTTGTCGCGTACGAGGTTTAAGCCGGCGAAGAGCTTCAAGAGGCCGTCACAGGGCACGCTGGTAATAACTGTATGCAGGAGCTGAAGCCTGCCACTCCCGGATAACTCGACATAAAGCTGAAGGTTTTCAATTAGATTTGTCAGCTGCTGGTAATTGCTGGCAATGCTTCCGGAGGACGTGGGTGTGCGACCTGGAATAGGCCTGGCTCCCCAATTGAGGTTGAACCCCAGTAGTAACAACTCCGCATCTGCCCCGTGGGATTTGAAAATTTTACTCGATAAAGTAAATTAGACTCGAAGTCAATTTGCGATTTGGGACATATCATTAGGTGAAGGAAGAACGCACCGTTCCGGACGTCGAAGTAAGCGGGAACGTAAGCTGTTCCATTCTCGACCTCCCAGAGCCGAATTTGTGCAGCCGAAAAGACACTGAAAAATGACTCGCCAACTACAACTTTCCTTCCAATGATGGGCAAGCTCCGTGCCGTTGAGTTGTATTCGGGAAGCGCCCTTAGCTCCTGTGAGCTTCCCACAATGTAGGAGTATCTAGGATCTTGTAGGAGAGCATCCAAATAGGGGTAATATGAGCCGTCATCACTAGCAAGGGTAAAGTTAAGCGAGGTGACGTATTTGGTGAACAATGTAAGAAGCAGGCAGATATATACATGTGGGACCCGGTATGTAGATGGACTTATTGCTGGATGCGCCCAGCTTGAGATAGGCACCATATGTAGAACCTATTTATAATACACTGCGATAAGTACCGAAACAGACTTTAATAGAAGCATAAACATGATTCAATATTGTCTCTTAATAAATATAGCTACCACAATTCAGAATCATAGCTTGGATTCATGGTGGAGTCGCGGCGTAGTAAGCATTGGTTAGTACAATCGTACGAGCGGTAGGGACTGCAATGACGCGGCTGGTGACGCCTGCAGGCATACGTTAGATAATGCTTCAAGCTTCATTTAATTACCATTAGTTACATAAACTCTAGCAACCTTATGTGGTGCTTAAAGCAGTTACAGAGACTTAAATGCTCGCAACAACGGTGGTACGACAGCAAGTGAACTCCAACATACCGAGCATCCGCGCAAATCAGTCTCTCTCTCTCAATACCATTTAACGTCTCTTCGCTAAGGTAGCGAGTAGAGACAACCAAGAGCCAGCCAAACTACACCCCTCCCGTCCCCCCCCCTGGTGTAGTTTGGGGTGGGGCGAGCGACAAGACCACACAACCAACCACCCTAGAGGTAACGCCCTGAGACCCCGGCGACTAAAGTAAATCGTCCTAGCAATCGCAAGACCGCTAAGGCGAGAAGCAGGCACTCAGTTGCGGGGCCGCACATTGCGGTCGTGACGATGAGGATCAAGGTATCGCTCCAGCACAGCCGGAGTCCGAAGCTGACTGAACTCCATCAGGGCGGGAACTCCCGCACCGGCCGACGCAGCGGCCTGCAGGGCACCCCGGCGGAAACTGTGCACAGTTTCCCCGTCGTACAACTGAGCAGCCCGCAGGTGTAGCCGTAACCGCGCGGCAAGAGTGGCGCTCTGCAGCGCTTCCGCCTTGAAAGCCCGCTGGTCCGCCGTCAGCGGGCGAAACAGCGTGTCTTGGACAGTGCTCCCAGGAGGGGCACCAGGCTGGGCGCAAGACCACATGTAAAAAGCCAGAGTACGCGGGATGCAGTAAGGGGGGTCCTCACTGTTGGGCCGCAGCAGCACCGCGGGGCCACGCACCAGCCGATAGGTCTTAGTCCCCCGCTGACGGAAGCAGAGGGTAGGACATCCACCAGGGCCCCAAGACCATGGCGGAGGTAGCGGGAACCCAGAGTACGGTCGGTCAGGCTGCGAAGGTTCGACGAAGTCACCCACCCCCAGCTTCCCGATATCGTGACCCCTCTGGGCAGTCTGCCACAGGAGAAGCACGCACAACAGGTCCCGCAGGAAGACCAGTCGGGGCAAAGCTTCGTCAGTCACCACCACTTGCGACCACAAGTAGCCCACGAGAGCACGGTACTAAGACAAAGGTACTGCCGAAACCTCGGTGTAACCCCCGGCGACCTGGGACCGCTGATACGACGCGCGGAAATCCTCAACCCAGATGCAATCGCAAGGGTTGCCTTGGCCGGTGGAGACGTCGAATCGACCACCCCGGCCCACACGGCTGAAGAAACCACTCAGGCAGGACAGGTGGGACTTAACGGCGGCAGGCCCAACGGGGCCGCCACTTCGGCCCTGATGCCGGGGCAGCCACCAAACCGTCATATAGACGAGCACGTCGTCTGGCGTACAATTCCACCAGTCCCGACCACGACCATGGCTGGAAAGCCAACTCAGGAACTCGGTGACGGCACCATCCTGGCGGGACACCGTAGAAGAGGCTAGGGCACCAAGGAGCATCTGGTTGGCCGCGGCCAGACCCCGCTGGTAAGACGCTTCTTGATCCGCGGCTGAAATGAGGGGCGAAGGGCGGAGCCGAGCGATAACCTGGTCTAGGCGACCGCGAGCCACACCCAAGGGGGCAGGTGCCTGCAGTCCGAGAGAATCGCTTAGGAGAGCGCTAGAGCAGGGTCAGCAGCCAAAGGACTTCTCTACCAACCTGGGCAGGAACGCCCAGCGGGAAAGGCCGGCTAACGGGGGGCCCAGCGGATCCGGCGGCGGCGCCGGTGACAACCCCAGGGCCAAGAAAGAACTCCTACGGCAGGCGAGACACGATAATCAGCCAACATTGCACACAGAACAGGGGGCAGCAAACGGATAACCCACAGAAGGCGCCAAAGGTGGAGACTCGAGAGAGGGAGCCGACAATCCAACCAAGGAAAGCGGACCCCCCGGAAGGCCGAGGCCGCCAGTGCGAAGAGGGACCTGCGGGGAGACGGGCCCGTCTATCGCAAGCGCAAAGGACAACACAATAGCTCGGCGACACCTCACCACACCACGTAAGCCCCATCCAGGAACAAAGGAAGGCTGCGCGGAGCTAGTCGCGTCAGTGCCAAGAAAGGCTAAGCCATCGACCTGGGCACGACAGCGGTACGGAAACGCATCAGAATGATCGCACATTCAGGAAAACCGGGAATCAGTGGTTTACATCTAAGTAATCTAAACCTAAGGAGAAGGAGATCAGTCGCGATGCAAGTAGGCAGATGAACAGGGCGTAAATCGCCCACGCACATTGGAGACCGCAGTAAGACGCAAGAGTAGCCAATAAATTTCCCTGTCATAAATGCAAGCATCTTACCGCCGCTCTGGACCCAAGGCTTAAAACTTGCGGACCAGCCGAAGACCCTCCCACCCACCCATTAAGCGCATTGGGATGTGGTGTGGCCTGATTAAACATTGGGATCGGGTGTAAGGCTGGACGCAAAGGCCCACTTCACGCTAGTCCGGTACGGAGCGACGAGCATTTACATTCAAGCACTCCGCAAACCAGGCAGCAGGTTCTTGCTCTCTTCCCGATTCGCTTACTTAATACCAGGCTGTACAAAATAATACGGCCTTCGTGCACAGCTTCAATGAAAACATAGTAGGGCTGCAAAAATCGAATTCGTACACAAGCAGGCGGGCCCCGTCAGGGCCCTTTCGGGGGCGCCCCTTACTAAGCTGGTTCAGGACGTTTCGTGACTTTCCTGCAGACCATCACGTGGCCGTACTGCTGCTTCCCCTCCTCTCCTCAGACAATGTTACGTTCCCGCCTCGAACACGGTGTATAGTGGCCGGGGAGGATGTGCAGGCAGAGGTGCGCCGCGTCGCGCGGCCAAACAAGGACCTCTCGAACTCCCCGAGTCCACAAGAGACGTTTCCGACCTGATGTAAGAACCCCGAATACAGGCTCCCTCAGGGGTCTCCACATCAAGCCATCACCTTCAAGAAACGTCGGAGTTGGGTTGCAGTGTGGCCCATGTCGGAATCTGCAGGCTTCCATGAGCCCCGCCGGCCAGCAGCCGTCAATTTTTAAAAGGGAACCGCGAACGGGAATAGAAAGGTCGGCGCCCGGGAAGAGGTACGTGGACTTGCAGTGCATATCATTTGGGGGTGGAGGTGGAGCAGTGCGCCACACGGTGGGGGGCGACTTTGATCTCGGAAACCACTTGATGGTGACGGTGGAAGCGCGGGCGGGTCGGCGGTTTGGACCCAACAGCTACGATGCGATAAAGTCTGACAGGTTGGGACGGATGCGACCATCATCCAGACTCTTGACTCTCCTTCGACGTGATCCGGAGGAAAGGGAAGAGCGAGCGGGACTGGGAGAAGAACCAAGAGACGTGGGCGCGTGCGTTCAGACAGACCAAATAGTCATCAAACTGAAGGTATCGACAACGACGAACAGCAACATCGACGTTAAGAAGTTCACGAACGGAATGGAACGCGCAAGCAAGCATCCGATCGTTATAAATAATTCAGCCAGGCGCTCTCCCCGCTGTGTGTGGTGGGCTGAAATGGCATACGGCACCCGTACAGTGTGATCCACAGTGCGACTAGGCACCTTTCATGAACGGCCCCCTAATGGGCGCCCCTAAGGCTTCGACGAACCCCTCCGCACTTGTGCTGACACTGTAACAGTAACTGTAAGTGTAACTGTAAACTCGAAGGGGGCACTGATGATTCAGGACGTGGTGCTGAACGTTGGAAGGTTGTGACAATGGGGCTTCAGACTCAGCTAGTTGTTACACAACGGACTGGATGGTCCCCACCCCGTCAAGCTGCGACTGACCCTGTTCTCTCCCTCAAGCAGTGACGCTGGGGTGGAACGGTTTTCATTGCGCTTAAAGGACCCAGGACAGCGACGTCGCCGGGGGTTGAGGCAGAACAGCTTCGGTTGTTTTTGCGGCCCACGGGAATGGACCCTGATATTACGGCGACGGGGTGAGGTGAAGCAGTTTGCCTGGTCTTTTTGAGGGGGGTTGTATGGGCCTGACATCAGGGCAACGTGTCGAACGGCAACGTGTCGAACGGCAGCACACATTGTTCCAGGGTTCATGTCATAGCCACCGCTGGTAAAATCCATTCAGAGCCAGAACAGTGGGCGGGGTTTTGGATGTTGGGGCGGGTAAAGTAAAGTTGGGCGAGCAGGAAGAGGGGTAAGGGGCGCTGTAGAGGCTGGCAGAGAGGGGAAAGCCTGAGGAGTGGTCCGTGTGGTGATCACTTTACGCATGTGAGCTCATAAAGGCCCAAAGGCGCCAGGAGGATTGCGAGTTCATGTGAAAAAGAAAAAACTCGCAGGTTCAGATTAGAATCTGAACCAGAAAGCTGTTACAAGGGATCTAAAAAATTGTCGTACGAGAATACAACTAGAATGCCAACTAATTCCCAACAGCGGCAACTTTTTAACACGTCTTCAAGGCCACTACACCAACGGCCAGCCACATGTGCTCGCCCAGGACGCTCCCCCTCTCAGGCCATTTACAGACTCCAACATACTCCAACCTTTTGACAACACCTTTTGACCATTTCGCACAACCCAAACCGTTCGCACATCGTATTCGCACGGACATCGCATAGCTGGTTCTCTCGAAATGGCTGTCGAGTATATATACTTGCTAATACTGCTTCTAATTCCGCTTCTAATGACGATAATGCTCACGATGCTCTCCAGGGTATAACTAAACCCAGTTCATATCTACGCAGAGTCCCATTATAAGGACTGTTGTACATCGTACACCGCGTTAATCCAACTCCTTGCGGCAGTCCACCACCCCCACCGCTGGGCCCACCCCGGAGTCTGTCAGTCTGTCCGTCTGCGTCTCCAAGGCTGCTGCTGCTGCTGCTGCTACTGCTGCTGCTGACGTGGCGGAGCCCAGCGGACACAACGGTTTACACAACAACTGGTACTCTGAAGGTTCCGAACACCGACTGGGAGACCAGAGCTTACTTCTGGATGGATTGGATTGGGGATTGAATTGAGATACTAAGCGAGTTTCAAGACGGGGGGAGGAAAACCCTCCGGTCAGGCCTGTCTGCTAGCTCCAAACACCCGCCTCCGAAGGAGGATATTAACCTCCTCAACTTATTAGTCTAATGCGGGCTGGATCCTACGGATGATTGGTGGATACACGCATTTTGATACTGATTTAATGTGACACGAGTTTCAGTTGCTTATCGTCGGTTCTGGCTTTTAATGGGTTTTCATGGTCTTATGATGTTTTCGTGGCCACTGCCGGTGTATCGTTCTGGTTGTGCAATTCCCAAACACATGCTGTATACGATAGGTATAGTTTAATTGAAACCCGGAGGCGTTACCGGAGGCCATTCACAACTCTGCTCGGCTAATCACACTTGTACTCCAACGCCTTGCTAATGCTGGGAGAAGCAGACGTAGATGATATCGCTCGGTCGGAAATGCAGTTCGCGCATGAATGCAAAAAGTCCCTGACCGCCCCGACCGCCCACGATCCTCCGTTTTATTTCTCAAGGATACAACTTCCCAAATTTTGCTTGGATAGGGACGGGGATTGCATGGATAACAAGTAAGGAGCTAAGGGGAGTTTTATGATTAGAATCGGTAGTAGCCCTGACTTTACGACGGGCCTTCAAGGAATGCAGGCACATACTACACAAGTTGCCTTCCATTTCCCTCGCCCCTAAAGCCCACATACGCCAGCCCTGCTCCAGTTACTCCGGGATCTTTGCAGCTCATCATGCTTTTAAATGTTTCCTTTGGCTCCCGCTCATCCCTATCATGATTGCCTGTCGGTGGCCAGGTGGTCTTGGGGGGGATGTGCGGGGTCGTGGGGCTGGCGCCCCACTTCCCCGCACTTTCCCCTCTCTCCTGCCCCTTGTTCTTGGAAAACTTTAGGCGAAAGTTTTGATCGGCTGGCATTAGCAAGCATTTGGGCTGTGTGCCTTTTCCAATGATTGAAACAGTTTGTTTTCTTGCATTGGTCGTACAGTGCAAATTGCCCACACATTGCTAGTTGTTGCAACAGTAAAGTATAAGCAATTGACGAAGTGTAAGGAGAATATCAGTATGGAGAATTAAGCATCTAAATTTGTGATTACAGTCGAGGTGAGCCGTTAGTCCCCCCCCATTTAAACTGGGCAGGTTGCAGGTTGTCTGCCGTCACCAGCATGTCGTTGGCAGTGTGCACCGCACTGTTGCCTCCACCACCGCCGCTGCCGTCGGGCATGTTAGACTTAGCGCTGTCAGCGCTACCACCCGAGCAGCGGTGGACTTCCCGACTCTCCGCCGCCGCCACTGCTGCTGCTGTCGGGTTGGCAGGCCGTCACTGACCGGGTCTGCGGCATGTGCAGGGACAGCCGTTGACTGCGGGTGTTGCGATGGAAGGGGTGTTGTTGGGGTCGCCGGGGTTGGGGTAGCCGCTGGAGTCGGCAGCATGGCGGGCGGTGTAGAGCCGCCGATAGTGTCCCTGCTGCCGGGGCAGTGGGGGCTAGTGCCGAAGAGGATGTCCGCCTGTTGTGAACCGGGCCGTGGCAGTCGTCATCGAAGGTGACGTCGCTGCTCACGGTCACCTTGCCCTCGACGAGGACGCGGTGGGTGGCCATGCCGTGCTCCGGTCAGCGGTAGGTTCCTGCCTTTGAACGAGGACTGAGTTTGTCCTGCTGGTTGGCTGGGATGCGGATGTAGGCCAGGCAGCCGAAGGTGTAGAGGTGGCTGACGTCGGGGGGGATGCCGTGATAAGCTTCCCTCGGTGTGGCCTCCTGGCCCTGAGAGGGAGCCACATTGCGCAGGAGGTTGGTGTAGAGTGCAGCCTCCAGCCAGTAGCTGACCGGGAGTGCTGTGTCATGCAGCATCACCCGCACACGGTCGAAGAGTGTGTGGTTGAGTCGCTCCACCGCTCCGTTCTGCTCTNGGGTGTACGGCGC